ATAGCCTAATGTATTCCATGAGATTGCTCCTCATTGCCATACTGCAGCCATGAACCCCGCGCCGCAGCCGATGAAGAAGCCGCGGGCCGGCAGTAGCCACGTCGACCCACCGCTGCGCAATGGGCAAAGCGCGAGCCCAGCAGTTCAGTCAGACACGAACGCTGCACCGAAGACGGCGGCCTCGGGGCGCGCGTGACCGAACGCGCTTGCGGTGCTGCCACGCCGTCCTTTCCCATCGCCGCCGAACCGCCCTCCCTCCGCCGCGACAGACGCCGCAAAGACGGCGCTTCTCGCCGCCCAAGCAACAGCAGCAGCTGTGGCAGCGAATCTTTGCGTCGCTGGTGCGCGCGGCGGCCTCGTCGCAGTCTGGCGGGCGCTTGCCTCGCGGACCAGGCGGCCGAGCAGGCTGTGATCGCGGCCGAGGTGGATTGGCTCGGGCGGGTGCCGCCTGGAGGCGCGCCGGCAAAGCAGCCTGCAAAGGCGGGGCGATCGGCGAGGCAGCGGCGCTCGCACCTGTGCAGCTGACGCGCCAGCCGCCTGTGCCTTCCGGCGGCCTGTGCGCAGCAGGTCTATCTATTCACACCTCAGACGATCTTCCACGTCCAGACAGCGTCCAGACAGCGTCCAGACAACGTCCAGACAGCGTCCAGACAGTGTCCAGACAGCGTCCAGACAGCAAAATCGGAGCGTCTAGACAGCTATACAGACAGTAATAGCACTTGAATGTACACAGCTGATTGAAGTAAAGGGGAATGATGCAGCTGCCTGCCAGAGCAGAAAGATTCCTTAATTCTCTCCACTACAAAAAAATCCGGTGGGGAACCGACATCATGGCCTCGAATGCCGTGCTCTCTAGGTAATCTGCGGGAGCTCCACAAACCAGGTTGCCCCCCCCCCCCAAGGCTGTAGGGCGCTGCGCAACGTGTGCTTCTCGGCACCTACGCCGCAGGGCGCGCACGCATCCAGCGCGCAGCAGCCGCGGGTGCGATCGAGGCGGTGGCGGCGGCGATGCGCGCTCACCGTCACCCGCGACAGCGTCCAGACAGTGTCCAGACAGCGTCCAGACAGCAAAATCGGAGCGTCTAGACAGCTATACAGACAGTAATAGCACTTGAATGTACACAGCTGATTGAAGTAAAGGGGAATGATGCAGCTGCCTGCCAGAGCAGAAAGATTCCTTAATTCTCTCCACTACAAAAAAAATCCGGTGGGGAACCGACATCATGGCCCCGAATGCCGTGCTCTCTAGGTAATCTGCGGGAGCTCCACAAACCAGGTTGCCCCAAGGCTGTAGGGCGCTGCGCAACGTGTGCTTCTCGGCACCTACGCCGCAGGGCGCGCACGCATCCAGCGCGCAGCAGCCGCGGGTGCGATCGAGGCGGTGGCGGCGGCGATGCGCGCTCACCCGCAGGAGGCGGGCGTGCAAGGGCAAGGCTGTGCAACGTGTGCTCCGGCACCGACGGCGCAGGGCGCGCACGCGAGCAGCGCGCAGCAGCCGCGGGCGCGATCGAGGCGATAGTGGCGGCGCTGCAGGCTCACCCGCAGGAGGTGGAGGTGCAGGCGGAAGGCCACAGGGCGTTGGGCAACGTGTGCTCCGGCACCGACGCCGCGGGGCACGCACGCAGCCAGCGCGCAGCAGAGGCGGGCGCGATCGAGGCGGTTGTGGCGGCGATGCAGGCTCACCCGCAGGAGGAGGTGCAGGAATTTTACAACAAAACTCCCTGACAAATCGCCAACAGGCAGATATCGCACACCAGTCAACGCATACTTTCATCCCATCCTACCATAGTTTCATCCTTTACTCGATGCGAAGTACCTTTCTTTCGAGGGTGCGTGCTTGGCGCGCACGCACTAACACAACAACAACAACAACACAATCTCTCTCCCAGCTTCTTTGGGTACCTTTTGTTTTTGTTTTTTTCACTTCCGTTTTTCCGTCGTCCAAACCAAATGCTCTTCCCAGCTTCCGTCCCATCCATCATGTCCTCCCACGGCACCGGGCCGGTGCTTGCACTTTGAATGCCGTGGGGCTCCTGCCCGTGTCCGGGCGTGGAGATGCGAGGGTCGCCCCCCCTTGCCCCACCACTTTGTGTGTGTGGAGACGTTTACCTTACCTTACCTTCCTCCTCTCGCTCGCGCTCGTCCACCCGCACCTTGTTTCTTTGATTTGATCACTCTCGAGCCTGTCGCTTGTTTGTGTTGTTGTGCTTGTTGTTTGTACCCTTGGCACCTTGGAGTGCTGGGGGGGGGCGACAGGGGGGACGTGGCCCTGAGTTATGTGTACGCCAACTCAGGGTGTGTGGCAGCCCGCTGGCTGTGTGTCTTGTGAGCTTGTCTGTGTCTGTGTGTCGCTCGTGCGTCTCGTCATCATCTGTCTCGCGCGTCCACCCATACCGCGTTGGTGTCCAGTCCGAGCCTGGCTGTTCTTCACCTTCCTAACTAACTAACTCGAGCCTGTGCAGTGGCGGATGTTGTGCAGCTGTGCAGTAGCGAATGCCGATGCTGTACAAGAAGGTCACCAGTAGCGTGAAGGGGGCACTTGGAGCACTTAAAGTGCAGTGAGAGGAGGTAGGTAGTCACAGTAATCTCACAAAAGAAAGAAAGAATTTGAGAGAAAGAAAGAAAAGAGATCGAACCCAAGGGAGGGAGATGGGAGGAAGGCACGCCGGCCGCCACCACACAGGATTTAGCCGCCGTACACGCTGCCAACCAAGGTACTAACCCGCGATCTCCTCTGGACGACCAAGGTACCTTAGCCGGCCCTAGGCGACGGAAGCATGCACATTCTGCTGGCTGCCTTCCTCTCCGCGCTCAGCGTAGCAGCGGCGTCCGAGCCCTTCACCTGCGACTGCTCCTGGACGGCTACGCACCCTTGCGATCACCCGGTGAGTTCAGCCACGACCACGTCGCGCTCAGACACCCCGTTCGATCCGCTCGCCCCTCCCGACAGGACACCAAGCCGCAAACGGGCTGGCTCGGCCTCGGCGGGACGGACGAGTGCCACTACTACTGCTGCCCCGCCCCGCCGCCGTCGCCGCCGCCTCCGCTCACCCCGTGCGACTGCGGCTGGGTCGGCCGTGACGGCAAGCACGTTTGCCCGCACCAGGACCCGTGCCCCGGTCTGACTGCGCTGGAGTGCCGCGAGGTGCCAGCCTCGCAGCAGGTCGCCCACCCGACGGCAACCCTCGGCCTCCCGTCGGACGTGCCCTGGCAGTGCTTCCACCAGTGCTGCACGGAGCCCGCCGCGCCGCCGGCGCCACCTTTCCCGCCGTCGTCGCCGCCTCCCTCCGACGACGACGACGGCAGCGGGTTCGACGACTCCCAATTCTTGAACGTCGATGGCATCCTCAGCACAAAGGACCCGGCAGACATCCCGCTCATCGTCACGATCATCACCATCATCATCGCGCTCCCGCTCTTTTGCTGCGCGACGTGCTGCCTCTATCGCAACGCGATGAAGGAGGCGGAGAAGGATGCCGTCGAGCAAGCCCGCCGGCGCGCTTACATTGGCGTCTAGGACACTCAATCCGCGCGCAGCTCTCCCCGCACGCAGCAGCCACCGACCCTGCGGCCGCTGCCTGCACCGTTGCTCCTCCGTCTCTCCCCCGTGCCGATCTTGTACGTTCTCGTTTATTAGTGAGGCTTGGCCGTGCGGTCTGCCTCCGGGTGTGGTCTGGTGTGGACGTCGCACACTTGACGTCGAGGGCTCTCTGCCTCTCTCGATGGCACAATGCGGGGTCATGCGCGCCAGGGACCACGCAGCCCCGCGGGTGTGTGTCGTTCCTCTGTTTTTGTGGGAGTGTCTGAATGGTTGAATTCTTTTGTGGTGTACCTGATCCGTCGAAAGCCGGGGCCGAGGCCGAGCGGGCTCGGTCGCGTGCGCAGCGACCAGGAAGGAGCCGTGCCTGCTGCATGCACAGTTGGGACTCGGGCGGGTGTATGTATGCAGCATGTGAGGCACTGCGGCACGTTGTTGCCGCCCTCTCCTCGAGCAGACAGAGATCCGTAGCGGAGCACAGTGAGAACGCCTCTTGATGCAAAATTCTTGTGTCTGATAAGCGGCAAAATTCTTGTGTCGGTGAGAGTGTTGGTGAATTCTTTGTTTCCGTCGCCCTTTTGAAGCGCCTCTGCAGCTACACAGAGCACGCAGCACAGCCACAGCCAATGGCCTCGTTCGGTACGACTTCTCGCGGCCTCGCCGACTCTCCCGCGAGGCCGCTCTCCTGCATGCGCCTCTCGCAGACGCGCCGCAGCCCGAAGAAGGTTGGCCGGCCGGCCGCGAGCGCCGCACGGGCGCTTCGCGAGTCGAACCAGGCCAACGGCTACAAGCCGGCGCAGACGCCCAACATCAAGCCGTCGTCCCGCCGGATGGGATCATCGGCCGGATCGTCGCGGTCCGCGGCGTCGTCGCTGAAGCGCGCGGCGCCCGAATCGGACGGACCGGCCCCAAAGCGCCGCAGCGCCGGAGACCAGCCGCTCGAGGCGGTCGACGAGAGCACAGCGCTCTCCGAGCTGCATGCCTCGCGCGAGGACAATGAGCGGCTGACGTGCGAGGTGGAGCGGCTCAACACGGCGCGCTCCGCGTGGGAGGACCGCGCCGCCGAGCAAGCCGCCGAGCTCGAGCGGCTGCACGCCGAGATTGAGGCGGCGCGGCAGGAGCTGTCGGCGCAGGTCACCGCGGCCGAGGAGAGCGCCGCTGCGGCGGAGGCGGCGCGCGCCGCGGCGCAGGCCGAGGCCGAGGCGACAGCCGCGCGGGCGGCCGGGCTCGAGTCCTCCCTCGCCGCCACCGTGGCCAGCGTGACGGAGCTGACTTGCCGCACACACGCGCAAGAAGAGCTCCGCCGGCAGGCAGCACTCGCCACACGCACACACCCGCCGTCGCCCGCGGACCCCGCCGGCACTTCGTTGCCATCCTGAGCCCGTTCGCCGAACTCTCCTCGTCCCACCCAGAGGCGCTCTGGACCTCTGCCTGTTTTTTATCGCCGTTTCCCGTCATGCCTTAAGTTTGCAGCCCTTATCCCTCTACGATGTTTTTACTCTCGTCTGGCCGGAATGAATCTTCCTCCTCTCCTCCACTCTTCCATTCTCTTCATCTCCTTTGGACAGTGAATCCTCCCTATCTCTGTTTTTTTGTTTAGTCTATCCTGTTTCACCTTTT